ATCCATCCATCCATCCATCCATCCATCCATCCATCCAACCATCAGCTGTTCTTAGTTGTGTTAGTGTTTTTGATGGTTAAATAAATTAGATGTATAATGTTTACATTTCTTGTTTGTGCCTCTTTATCTGTTTATATATATATATATATATATATATATATATATATATATATATAATTTTCTCTGTTTATCATTTTTGAGATGAAATAAGTTGTCAGTCCTTTCTGGCTCAAGCTTGACTTCATAAAATCAGCATTGCTTGCTGTAAAATTGTACTTTTTGAAGACTGTGCACAATTAGCTATTTGGAGAACTGCACAAAAAAATCATTCAGCATCTCATAAATACCCACAATCCTTAAATTCTTCAACACCACAGAGTTGGCCTTATTGTTTTTTTTTTTTTTTTGTTGAATATAGACAATTCTCCCTAAAGGCAAACAGCTTACAATTTTACTCCCAACAAAACAAAACATACTCTGCTCTCTGCATTTCTTGCATATTTACCTTAAAGTTATCTTTAAGTATCCACCAGGTTAAAGCAGTTCATTTTAAACACCAATGTTAACAAGTCCTTAAAGACTAAACACTAAACAAACACACTCTTCGTAAGTCATTCCTCAGAAATAAGAAAATAAAACATCAGTCTGTAACGTGAACTAAGTTGTAACTCATGCCTATTTAGTGTGAATGCTTTAAATACCACAGACACTCAGGCACTAATTTGTCAATACACTTCACACACCATCAACCAGAAATGTCAGAGCTAGAGGATCTTCATTTGGGCCATCTGGGCACACAGCTGGGCTAATCCTGTACGTACCTCACGGAGACGACTCAGAGTATAGCAGTGTTAATATCTGCTCAACAACACACAACCTCTCCTGTAAAGCGAGAATGAAAAAAGTAGCTCTTTTATACTGAGCTGTGCCAAAGTCTCCCTGTCCAGGCTGGCAAAGGTCCGGCTATTGGATGAGCACAGGAGGCAGCTATGGCTCACATCCTGACCCGAAAATAGCCAGCACAACAAAGATGCTTGTGTGACAGCAAAGGGAAGACATTTTGATTTATTCAATGCCAAAAGGATTCAAGAATTATTGTTCTTTGCAAGAATCTGCATCACCATCCCTCTAAGAGCTGAGGAGAGAGCCATGTTGATACAACAAACACAATATACTGTGAATTTGGAGAAGAGGAGACAGAAGATCCAAGGCTCACTGACCTCCAAGCTGTATTCCTCCACGGTCCTCCTGAGAGGGTCCACAATCTGCCAGCAGATGAGAATGCACAAGTCGATGAGCAGCATCCCTCCAACGATGATCAACAGCTTCTGGTCCTTTATGATCTGGAGAAAAATACATTTTTATTAGCAAAATACTTCAACAATCTTCTTATATCATGCAAGAACAGGAGCGCTGGTTGTAATCAGAAACATTTTGTTTTTAACTATAGTGAGATCTGAGAGGCTTCAGTCACAACGCATGATCAAAACCACTCCTGCTTTTATTTAAACTATTCAAGGACTTACAGTACAGTCTTATTAGGATAGGAAACTAAGCATTTGATGTTTTATTAAACCAGAGATATTTTGCAATAGTAGAAAGGATTCTGACTGTAGTCTCTGTTTCTGTGTGGTACAATAATCTTAAAAAGATCACCGATTGAAAATCAGTGGTGTCAACCACTAAAGCTCCTCTTCTGTAGCCTGAACTTTGGAGGGATGAAAGCCAGGACCTGTTTGTGATCTTCATTTATAAGAGTGCTTGACTGTGTGAAACCATGGATCAAAACAAAGGTCAGGGAACACAGAACGGGCTCTGTTTCAGATAACCCAGACGCAACTCGCACAGGTGTCCGGTCCTCCAGGTGGGCTCATGAAGGGGTGTTTGTGATGTGCTGTCTTTTGATGATAGCGTTGAGCAAATATAAGCACATCAGGACAAAGAATGTGTAAAACAATCTGTGTAAGGGCTGTTTTAGGGGATGCTGTGCATTACGGAGGGGAGCTTGTAACGTTCTCTAACGTAAGGGTTTGTGGTTTGATTCCAGACTCCTTCTCTGTGTATGTGAAACAAGAAAATGTCTGAAATAAAGTTTAAACAGTGTGCATTTGTGTGGGTCATAAAAATGTAGTATTTTATTTTTTAAAAAGAGCAACAGCTGAAATGACAAAAGATAAAATAAAATAAAAAAAATCTCAATAATTCTTGAGTCAACACTTTTAATAGTTCTGAGAGCTATTCTCCAACCATCTGCTAAACTGTGAAGCGTTGCGCTGTCAACTGAACTGGTTTGACAAAAGCAAAAAATGTAATTACTCCAAATTGCCAAAAGCGTTAACAGTATTTCTTTCACCCAGTTTTAGTGGCATTCTACGTAGCTTTGTCTAATTGTATTTTAGAAAAAGTCAAAGAAACTAAAAACAGATTGTGGACACGGTGCGTGACTGAGGGCAGAAAGCTTGATAATCGTATTGTCACTGGACCATTTTCATCATCACCTGCCTAGTTTTGTGTTGCTTTATTTCCATTTACCGTAATATAATACATTTTTCACATGTTGGCCAACCCAGCTGTCATATATGTGTGTTTTGTGATCATTCTACTTCTCTGTCTGTTTTTCCTGTGCTTCCAGTTTCCTCAGTGTTTCTCTCCTCATGTAGTCAGCTCCTGCCACTCTCACCTGTTTCTCATTGTCTTTCTCCAGGTGTTTATCATTGTGTCTCGTTAGTGTCCCTTTAAGTTCAGCGCCTCTGTGTCTTCATGTTGTCTGTGGATTGTGCTCCCCACAGCCTGTCACGTTCTGTTCCTCGTGTTCTCGTGTACCCATTAAGTTTTGCTGCTACGTCAGCTTTTGTTTTGAGCTTTGTTGTTAATAAATATTATTTACTTATCTTCGAGTCCCCTGAGTCTGTCTGCATTAGGGTTCAACGTCATGCTGATCGTGACACCAGCTCTGTTACTACCCCACTTGGCCAAAAGCGGTGCATTAAAAGCTGTCGTCTTCGACCCACCTCACTGCCTCGGTCCATTCAGAAGCCACACTGAGGCGGTCAGATTGAGGCGTCTCGTGAAAGAGCCTGCACTCGTAGTGGGTAAAAGGACATTAGTTAATAGATGATTTAGATTTGCTTAGTTTCCCCTCAGGTGAGTTTATGTGTGTTAAATGTTCTGTTGCAATTCAATACAGAAAACACATAAAGAAGAGGTGTATTTGCAACTAGGTGCTCTTCAGATCAAAGAAATGGAGCAGGTACAAAGATGTCTACTAATATGATTATCTGTGTATTTGATGCATAGACAGAGAAGGACATTGGTGGACCTCCACCCCCCCTATCACCATCTTTGACTATTGAGCTTTTAAAGGAGTTAAAGAGCATTGGCGGCAGCCCACCAAGTGGACTCCTCGTCGAGATCACCCTTGATTTACAATCTCTGCCCTCCCAGTGTACAGAAAAAACATGGGAAGGAGGTAAAGAAGGAGTGATTCAGTTCCAGTCCCACAGTTTGAAGAAAAGATGGCTAACACTTGTGTCCGTCCCTCCCCTGACAGCCGTTGGCAGACATTTCAGGGCACCAACAGCAACTATCAGTCTGCTGAAGCCAACGCACCTGCACTCAATCAGTGTGGGGGAAGTGGGATGTGTGTGTCCTGCACACAAACCCCGGCCCCGAGCCAACAGAGCATACGTCTTGAGGGTTAAAGCTGAAGCATGCAGTGAGGGTGATTTCTGCCTCTGAGGAAACGTTTGTTTTGTCTTCCTTCGTGAGGGAACGAGGGTGCGAGGGGAAGAAGTGAGCCGAAATAATTGGCTATGAAATGTCAGAGCAATGCTAAGCTCAGAGAAGCAGAACTGCTTGCTTTCATAAAATTGGTTTTGTTAAAAAAGGACAGCAAATTAATAAAATATAAAAGGTCAGGTTCAGTGCAGTTTTAAACTTGTTTTGGAAACTACGTATAGCTAAAATGGTCTCAATCCCTGATCTTTGTTTTTTAACCTCTCCTAATCTATCATTTGTCATTTTTCATTTCACTGTATAGCCTACTTTCTCTGCCACTGAGGCCACACTGTCTCTTTCTCTGTCCTGCTTTTCCTGCCTCCTTCTGTCACATCCCTTCTGCCACTATTTTCCTACATCCCTCTAACCTCTTCCACTCTTTGAACCATCCCTCTTTTATTGTTTTCTTTCTACTTATTGCCAGGATGCCCACCTTTCCTTTAATAATGAAGGAGGATGAGAGAGAAGAAAGAAATAAAAAAAGCAAAGTCTGTAAATACATATATTTTCAAAAAACTATTACCTCACAGGGAGCACCACTTCTATAACTGGGCCAAAGAAACAGATTGTATCATTTGTTAAAAAGTTATTTGTTTAGATTTAATTTCTTAAATTCCTTCTACTTAATTTTTCCTTTTTTTTTTTAATTAAGTTTTTCCAAATTGCTGTAAGGTGTGACTCATGGACACAACATCACCAGTTTTGAGGTTTCATCAAGTATGTAAGTTTGCTGCGTAAGACCATTACGTTTTATACAGAAAGGACCTATTTTCTCTCTCGCTCTCGATGAAGAGGGGTGCTCTTTCCCTCTCCTGCCTCCCCTACTGCTTTTGCTCTTGTCCTGTGAGTCTCAGAGCCTCTCTTTACACAACTTCTGAATCAAAAATTATTATGGATCAGGTCAGCTGGTCTCTCAGCGCAATTGATAAAATTCTGACTAGAAGACAGGGTGCAGGAGAGCCCTCAAGCCCTGAAGGGACACACGCAGCTGGATATGTCATGGATTCCTGGGGTGTCTGGAAGACGATGTGCCTGTCTGTGCTGTCTGTTGAGGACGTAGAAGAAGCATACATAATTAGATTTATGACAAAAGGGTTTCTGCTTTTTGGAATCGGATATCAACTTATTAGAAAGACGTTGGCAGCAGTTTCAACAATAGTAAAGCTGCTTGCCTTATATGAAGGATTATTCCATGTTTCAAGCTCTCAGACCAATTTGTTTTGTGAACTGAACCATAAGCTCAACGCAATTTCTGTCTTGTCATCCCCCCCCCCACAAAATATATTATGTCTCTCTATGTTGCTTGCTGAGGTAGCTTTTTTGCTACCTTACACCATGCCCTGTGTCAAGGACACAGTGTGAGAGACCTTTTTCATAATACACCTTCTCTCCTCATGTTTTCTTCCACTTTTCTTGTCTAAGCGACGAGGGCAGCGCTCATAGGGAGCCGCAGCCCCGGCACACTTCCGTCTATCCTTCTGACGGCCGTACTGAACTAAATTTTACTTAACTGTGCAATGACAATAAAGTTGATTCTGATTTTGATTCTATAGCCATGTAAAGTTGAAAATGGTTTGTTGAGAAATAACTGGTTCAAAGAAAGATTTAATTAGAAAAGAAATTTAGCTAAACTTGAGATAAAGCCACAACATGCTAACACTAAATAACTTAAAAGGTAATGCAAATTATGGCGTAATACTGAGAAAAATGTTTGAATGCTGCTAAATATTCATTTAAAACATGCTGCAATATCAAAATAATCTACAGTATTCTAATGGGAATAAATGGTCTAGAAATAAAAACAATTTAGAACAAAAATGTAAAGTATTGTTCAGAGGTGCTACGTTTATAATCAGGCTGGTTTGAGTAAAAATGGACCATTTCAGAGTTCCTGTTACAGAAAACTTGGATTGTTTTAAACTAGCAGGACAAAAAAATCTTTTACTGTCTCCTGAGGATAGTTTGTGTTTGCTCAAATTCATTAGTGAATCTTAAAATGATCAACACATGGAATTGGTTCAATCTTTAACTCATTATTTGTTAATTCTAATTCAGTTGGCAGTTAAGATCAAATCTTTTATATAATAGATGTATGCACAAAAAAAGTTGCGTGATTAGAAGTTTAATCAACAAAATGAAGGAAAAATATTTCAAGTGTAAAAACGGTATAAATAACTTGAAATATTTATTTATTAATGTGATAAATATATGTGTGAATGCTATTATATTTATATACTCTATTGAAGTTGTATTGAGATGTTTTTATGCCGTTGCAACAATTCATATACAAATATATGAATAATGTTCAGCTCATTCAAAACATTCCTGCTATGACTTTTTGTATTTGTGCAATATTTACAAATATTTAGCTTTGTCAGCCATGTTTTTCTCATTGAAAATGAATGATGGTCTTCTCATCCTTCAAAGTCTTTGTGCTGTTCAAGATCTCACTGCTCATTTCTGCTTTTGTTCTGGTTCAGCTCATTTAAGCTTTTGACAGTTAATTTTCTGCTCCTTTCTGCTAATTTCAGCTTTTTTTGCTAATTTCAGATGATTTTTGCTAAATGCAGCTTTTTCAGCAACTTTTTAAGTATTTTCTGTTCATTTGAACATTTTCTATTATTTTTCCTTTGTGCTTATTTCGAATAATTTAAACTTTTAATGCTCTTTTCAGCCTCTGTCTGCGAATTTCAGCTTTTTTTTTAATTTTTCAGCCACTTTTCTGCTAATTTCAGTTTCTTTTTTGGTGCTAATGCAGCCTCTCTGCCTATTTCAGCTTTTGATTCTGCTACTTTTCTGATCTATTCAGCATTTTCTACATGTTTATGCTGTTTTCCTACTGTTTTCTGACTTGATTTTCCTGCTTTCAGCAAATATCAGCTGTTCTAATTCAACTCGCATCAGCAGCTTAGTGATGAAACCTTTTCAGCCTGGTTTCAGCTTCTTCAGCAACTTTCAGCAAAACAATCATTCAGCAATAAGCATTCACACTGAATTTTCACAGGAAATGCTTGTTTATATTACCTTCTTCTTCATCTTGACATTTTTAAAGATGGCATGCACTCTCCAGGTCTTGGCAAACATGGCGCCAAACGCTGTTGTGTATCCAACAATGAGAATCCATGTCCGAACCTGTCAGAACAAGAAAAACACACAGTCATGTCGTGTCATAAAGTGATGATCAAGGATCGGTCCAGCATCAGTTCTGACGGCTACCTGTGAGATAAATTTGTCCAAAATAGTGTTACGTGCTGTTCTAAAAATAGGCAGTCAGATTTCTTTGTTTGTCTTCAGCAGCTCTGGAGAAAACATCCTGGACAACAAGGTAGTCAGACACCTGACAGCTTGTGTAAAACAGAAAGTAACAAACTAAATGTGTGTTTTTTCTAGCACAATGCATAATGAGGATGTTTCCAAAGAGTTTATAACATTTTTTGTGATTGAGAGAATCACCGTTTAAAGTAGGCATGGCACATGTTCCTTGATTCCTGTGCCTCAGCCATACCTGAGGGCAACACAGAGCGTTGGTGACAAAAAACAGAAAGAAACGCAATCTATGACCCCAGGAGAGCGGCTCATTAATCAGCAGAACATCTATCAACCTCTGTGCTCCTTCGCTGTAGAACTTCATCTGAAGTGACAAGCTCTGTTTTGACTCTGCAGCAGCGCTTCATCCAGGTGACGACAGCTCAAGACGTGCCCTGCCTGACATTACCTGCATCTGTGATGGGTGTGTGTGTGTCTTTGTATTAGGTACAGTATCATCCCAGTGGAAACCAGTTATCACTGTAATCAAAGCTCTTTAATTAATCTGGTGTCTACATAGTCACACATTGATGCTACCTGGGGGGGAGACACTTAATGTGCTCTGTGCCTGTTCGAGACCTGCAGAGATCTTCAGTCAGGTTTCTCTAACATACTTTGAATGTGAGAAGTTTTAGTTTCCTTCATATTTTAGAAAATTCTGATTAGGAAAGCTATACAAACTAAATGCACCAGCTTAAGTGACCAGAGGAAAGCAAACAAATAGGTTTAAGGATCATGACACGTGATCCCTAAGCTAACGAGCAAAATTCCACATTAAGATCAAACATCAACTTTAGTGGTTTGAGTAAATATAGTAAAGGACGCACAGTGCAAAGGGTCTCAAACTCCTTGTCAGAAACAAAACCTCCATCCAGACCAAACAGGAAGATGGAGGCGTAGGACAGCATGCCTCCTAAGATGATCAAGTTGTTCATGTAGGGGCTGGACATCTTGATCAGTCTGAAGAACAAAACAGTAAAGGAGAAAATAGGTTGAGTTACAAATATTCTTTCAAGAAATGTAAATCATCAATACAAAATCTCAAACACAAACGTAAATTGATTTGTTAGTGGTCTGCGTATGTGTTGGTGGAAATGTTCAGCTACTACCAGACCAAACATTAGCTCAGTATTTGTGAACTTGGCAAAGTTATAGTCAGTTTTCTGCTTATGATGGTTCGATGTTCTGAATTAGCATTTTGAATCAGTTCGACTCTAAAAGTTAGAGTTCAGTTCAGTCACCAGCCTTTTATTGGACAGGGATGCACAAGCCTTACATATATAATTATGTGCAGAAACTTTTTTCTCAATTTAACATTTTTCAGTTTCTTGAAACTCTGACCTTCTCTCATCCCTCCACTTTAAAAACCAACTACTATTTTTGTCCCTGCTCTGTGTTTATGCATTGTATTGTTATAAAGGGTGTATTTGTCCTCTGCCATGTGCCGACCTATGGTTTCGATTCTTGATGTTGAAGAACAGGAAGGCTCCAGCCATGAACATGCCCAGTATGGTTATGGTGGACAGGATGCTGTAGAGTGGCACGTTGATGTGGCGCCGCTGATGACGTACAAACGTACGATCCTTCGGAGGCTCCACGCCTATAAAACAGAGGATTTCACTTCACATCATTTTCACTTTTGTTGCGTCTCTTTTCTTATTTATTTACTTTGACTTTTCTCATCCACAAAATAATAAAAGAGTGAGAGAATATTTCATTTCTCTAGTAATACGGATGTTTCTTCACACCTCAGTTTAGTTATTGTGGTTAAACCCTTCACTTTCCTTTTTTATTCTTTTATTTTTTACTATTTCCCCTTTCCACCTACGTGCCAATCGATCACAGTGGCATCACCTTGTCCACTTATTGTGACCATAGATGTGGAAACAAGTTTTCATTTCTGGAGCTTCTGTATGTGGGACAGAGGAGGGGAGATGGAGCAGGAGAGCTGGGGAGGAGAACAGCCAGAAGGATGAAACAAATTCCAAAGTGTGTCAACACTGGCAAACACAAGAACAGAGAAAAATGGACCAGTAAATAATTTAGCTGAGAGAGAGGCCAGTTCAGAGTGGAAAATTGTGGTCCAGTCAGCCCCAGAGATATTTGGACACTGATGCGTTTTTAGATTTTAGCTCTGTACGTAACAGACTGAAGGCATTCAGTGCCTGCAGAAAATTCACACCAAATGATTGTGGTTGCTTGAGCATGCACCTAATTTACATATAAATCATCAGAATCTAGCATGCTTTAAAGAAATGCATTTCACCCGCCACCTTTCATGTCACAATTTTAAAATCATTTTACTGTATATTGAAAAATCACAAAGGAGTTTTGGTCAAACGTTGAATAAAACATTATTTTCAATCTAATTCAACATTCAAAGAAGTCATGCTCAGGGTATCTGTTGTGAATAACTCTCAGCCACTACCACTTAAAATGTTATCTCTATCTGTGAAAGGGCTTGAGTTACAGCCATTCGTGTGTTGGTTAATGCAGATTAGGTGTGGTGGCCATTTTGAACTGGACTGACTCCAAAGGTCAATCAGTTGTACAGTAGATGTAAACCCACTGAATACAGAAATAAATCTGTTCACTGGTTCATATATTTTGTAACGAACAGGGTTGGCTTCAAACAGTTAATTGAAAAAAAATTAAAATTAAAATCTTGCACAATGTGTAAGTGCTTCGAGTGTATGTTGAGGATCGGTCTCTACTATGACCACACAAATTTTAAGCACACAATCTGTAAAATTGACAGAGTTACTGCTATTTCTGTGTTTTAAGTCAGTGTTTAAGCTTGAAGTGAGTTGGTTGTGGTAACCACCTCTAATTTAATCAGTTGTAGATGAACATCCAACGATGACTTCCTATAGGTTTCATTAAAATTTGCCCAGTTGTCAATGAGGTATCTTATCTAGATTTCCTCTTTCATTGCATGCTTTCATGTTTCTGTCACACAATACATAGCACAATTCTTTTAAAGCAGGGGCTCTCAAACTTTTAGGGTCTGGGGACCCCTTACAGGGGAGAAACATTTCCAGGGACTCCATCATAAGTTTCATGTTGACTGAAAATTGCTAAGTGTCATTTTAACCCCAAATTGTCATGGGAATTGTATTAATTGTATTTATTTTTTGAGGGGTGTAAAGTAGTTATGTTAGTTTTACTGCAGAATTGGTCCCTAGATGACTTTATACACTATTTTAAATGATCTGATGTAACTAATAATTTACTGTAATTTATTTTGAGGACCCCTAAGCTACTTCTCACAGACCCTGGGTGCTCCAGGGTCCCCAGTTTGAGAACCTCTGTTTTAAAGGAATACCTCACATTTTTTAAAATGTCTTCAAGTGTGTCGCATTGTAAATCCATCTCTTCAAACAATCAGAGATGGTGTAATATGAAGAAAAGGTTAAATCAAAGAAAAAAAAATGTGTGTGACAATACCTGCAACACACTTTGTATGTGGGGGCAATCACATATAAGAACATTTGTGCATTAGCTCAGATGCAAAAAAACAAAGTGCAGTGTGGGTAAAGATTTTAAACATGTTTTAGCATATTAAATAGTAAAATAAGTCAACCAGCAAGGTCTGGCAAACTTTCAGCGACCCCTTGACTTGCAGCTATGTGTAAAACCATTGTTAGGCTCTGGAAGTCTGGAGGAAATGAAGTCTTTTAATTCAAAGAAGGGTCTGAACCCAAATGTCTCCTTGTGTTTTGAACAAGTCTGGTCTGTTTCTTACCTTGGAACTTGACTGTGTTGTTGAGGTCCAGCACGTCAGCAATTGCATTGTACTCGCCCACTTTCAATTCTTGACCATCTGTGAAAACAAATATTCACACTTTAAAACAAAGGCATGTTCAAAAACTCTTCGTGTTCAAAATTTCAAACCACTGACAGCAATCTTAGAGGAAAAAAATGATTATTACAAAAAATAAAAAAGTCTGTGTTCATCATGTTTACGCTAAAAATAATACATTTATACCATAAAATCCTCAACATACACTAACTGTATGAAATATGACGGCAAGTCAACGATACGTAACATGCTGAAGCTAAATAAACATATTGATACCAACATCTTAAAAATCATACTCATTAAAATGGCATTTTGCACATTAAAGTCAAATAAAAAACGTGATGGTCACAGTAGTCATGAGGTTTTCTGACTTGTTTATGCTGAAAAATGCAGTGTAGGTGAGTTCTTTCAAAATTTATGAAAAAAAAGGCAAAACTGTTTAAAAGTCAAGTGTATTGAGGATGGGCATGACTGGCATTTTGCATGGAGTAATATTTTCTTTAAGAAATGGACACAGATATTTTGTTCTTTAATTAGACAAAGCACAAGAGGACGTTCTCTTTTGTAAAAATATATAAAACCAATGGATAAATGGGGGGAAAAGGATCGTATCCAGTTGAATGTTTTTTTTAATTATACTGTTACACTTTGTGAGCGCCGTTATCACAGATCCTAATTTTAAGGCAATAGATAGATATTATACTAATGAAACAAGTTGTTTTCAGTTATTTGACACCAACAACCAACTTTAACAACATTTTGGTGAACTTTAAATCCTGTGATCACTTACGAACTCCTTTCCTTAGAATATTATTTTAATTCACTTTGTTAAAAATCGATTCCAAATGATCAAATATTCAAAGTTTGCAGTTCATTATGGACAGTAGCTGAGAGAAACATTGTACGATATATAGTGCAGTTATTTTACCTCCATAACGACTTCTGTACCAGATTCTAAAATGTTTGAAGCTTTCCCAAATACAATGAAAGATGAAAACTGTAAATTGTGTAAATGCCCTTCTCCCCCAAGGTTTGATGAAATACGACTATTTCAGTTTTTTTTCCTTTGAGATTCTCCAAGGTGTAATTATAGAAGAGAGATCTTGTCAAACAAACCTGATTATTTCCCCTAAAGATTACTTCCATGCCACGCCAGCTCGTTCATTTAGTTTTTTAACTTTCATAAATAAGTTATTTATTTCATCCTCAAGTTTCCACGAGTTCTGTCTGCATCTGGTTCAACACTATGCTGATCATGGCACCAAAATATATTTAAATTATATTTACAGTATTTATTTGAAGCGTGAACCTATTGTTTAGTTGTAAAACGCTGAGAATAAAAATGTGAATGCACCTGGTGGATTTTAAAAATGAAAAGAGCTGAGCTCTAAAAAGACATTAAGTACATATTTCAGCTATTTGAAAATGATCTTGCTTTGATTTAGCCTATTTTTAAATTTGTTGCAAGGATATGAAACTAGAAAATTTTGGAGAATTAAGCTTTAGATACACATTTAATATTTCTTTTTAAGAATCAGGCTCAAACTATAGGTGTTAAGAACAGAGATATCTTAAAATGAGTTATGTAAAGACTAGAAAAAGGATTTTCCCTTAAAACGATTTAGAAAGAAGCGATCATGACAAGAACATTGCACCATGACAAGCGTGAGGCCTGTTGAAGTCAGCTTGAGTTTGAGTCGTTCTTCCAGGAATCAATTCTGAAGTTTCACACTGAGACCATTTCAGCCCACAGATTTAAATCCAGCTGCAAATCCTGGGTGGGATTTAAAGCAGGCGCAGCTCTAAAACCAAAGGAAATGAAGGGTGCAAATTTTCCAGCACAAAGAACAACAGAAACCTCTGAAGAAAGGTTACAAACAAAGAAAGCTCCAAGCGAAAGGACAAAACATGCCTCTCCAACAAAACAAAGAACAGGAATTTATATCAAACTCACATCAGTACAGAAGTACTCTAAAATCATCCTTTTATCATATGATCAAACTATTAAAAATGTGTTTTATATCACCTTTTTCTTATTATATTAAATGTATTTAAATATTTTGTATAAAAAATGCTTTGATGATATAGTAGGTGCAGGGAAAAAAGCTTGAAATTAATTCATACAGGTTTTTTTTAGATGGTTTATTTCTAATCTAAAACATGTCCACTAAAATTACAGCATCACCTAAAAGATAAATTATGATTTAACTTTTTTCCACAGAACGATGGAGGCTCCAACCTTGTGTGTTGATTTATAACCTAAACAAATCAAGACCTCTGATAGTTATCTGTCACCCCCAAGAGAAAAGGAGGAAATAAAAGTCACAGACGCTCCAGACTGAAAAAGTCCGACAGGTTAAAAAGGAGGATCTGTCGCTGTGGACAGATGATGGGGTCGTGTTGCGGATCGCTCCCTTTTGAAATATTCAAGCAGGAGCTGCATCTCATCTGCACTCCAGTCAGCTCAGGCTCTGGCCTGTGGAGTCAAAAGGGTGACCAACTCAATCGGGTGAGAAAGAGGAGATGGAGTGAAGGTTAAGAAGAGATGAAGGAGATAAAAGAAGAGATGCTGATAAACCCAGGATTTAATAGAAAAGAGTGTGCACTGTATCTTAAAAGTGCAGCTGGATTTCTAAACCAAAAATTGTTCGAGTTTGGACATAATAGGTTAAAGTGAAAACCAGCACTTGAAATTATTGCAGGCCCTGAAACGGCTTTGACAAATAGTTTAGATGAATAGATGAAGAGTGTTTTGATTAAAACACGTTGCAACAGATTTTGTACTTCCCACTGGGTTCTAGAGTGGGTCATTGATCAACAGATGTTCTGTAGATGGGGTTGCACAGACTAAGAGGTGTGAATACTCAAAAAAAGGTATGCACATGCACATTATTCACTCACTTTGCATGCAAACCCCAACCATTACCTTCACAAGTTACATAATGCGTAAACTAAGATCCACTCTAAGCATTCTCTAAGAATTGTGCTGCTCAATGTGGCTGCACGTTGGAGTAGCTGTTACTTTCATTCTGGGATGTTGCTTTTGAAAACTTTATTTCCTCTTTTTTTGGATGTAAATTGCTTATTTTGGATGATCACTTCCTTGGTATTGGATGCTGTGCAGCTGGAAGGATTTTTACTGAAACCTTTTTACTTTTGGACATTTGGTATGATGCGTAACCATGACAACAAGGTGTTTTTTTTACAACCGGGAGCAGCTGACTAACATCTCAAAGCTCAAAAATTACCTCAAATACAGCCCCAAATCCTAAATGAGTTGTAAAAGAGGCGCCGTGAATGCATCTCCATCTACCTGGTAGAGGTGCTCGAGTGACTGACTGCTGAGATCCTTGGAGATGGCAGAAAATGTGGCTCATGACAAGACCAGGATCATCCCCTGACACCTGCAGTTGGCTGTCTGCAATGATGAGGAGCTCAACAATTTGCTGGGGAGTGACTATTGCTCAGGGAGGAGTTCTGCCTAACATTCAGGTGGTCCTGCTGCCCAGGAGGACCGACAGGCCCTCTGGGTCTGGGTGGACGAATCAGCATCTGCAGCCAGTTTCTTCAGATCCACTGCAGGATGGACAGCTGTGGGAGATTCTCCCTGCCCACAGCCGTCAGCATATTTAACAACTCAATGAAACCAGGATGATGAGCTACAACAACGTTTAATTTCCCTTTGGGATTAATTAAGTATTTTGAATTGAATTGAATTCCAAGTGTCAAATGATCCAAACCTGCACTAAGATGAACACCTGTGGTAACAAACTTCAGAATTAACTCTGGTTTGTCACCTTATGGGTGGTAACCCAGCAAGAGACAGCACGAAGACTAAAGAACTCTCCACGCAGGTCAGAGACAAAGTTGTGGTTAAGTAAAGCCCAGGGTTGCCTTATAAAATTATTTTAAATCCTGAACACCCCTCACCTTGTTTAATGTGAATATTTTCAGATAATTGTTTTAAATCAAATTAAACAGTAATTAAAATTCCAGGTTGTAACGCAGCAAATAGAAAAAAATCCAAAATGGCTAAATACTTTTGCAACATACTGTGTGTGTATGGACGTGTGCGTGTGTGTTGTGAACAGCCAGAGGGTTTAGGCCCCTCTGCAGTCAGGAAGATAAGATGGTTAGGCAGAGAGGATAGAGTAGCGCCATGCTGCTGTGCTACATGCAGCCTGGGCAGCCTCGGAGCTGGGAATCCCCTGCATCAAGATGCAATCTCTGGGTTATTCTCAGGACATCCTGTCAGCTCAACAATCACATGACAATGTTGTGGTCAGAGAAACCCATTTTTCATACTTACTTTGAGAACCAAACACACAATTTAATAACCAGGAAGAAGACAAAGCACCTTAATTGGATGCCAGCTATTACAAACAACTTTACTCCTCAGAACAAGAGCACTTAGGACAAATATGTTTATTATCATGGCAACCAGCACCATAGCCATGAGTAATCCTGCACAGCAAACAAGATGAATGCGAGTATAAATCATTTGACTTTGAAAGTGTGAAGAGTTCCAGGCTGTGACCTGCATTAGCTTTTCAAAGGACCTTTTAGTCATGATTTATTGAGTGTGCGTCAACTGTGTCGGACACGTGATCTGATGGGAATGAGCATGTTGTGGCAACAATTTCCAGCTAGGACAAATTGAGTAAAAAGGTGAAAAACAAAGCAGTCAAAGCTATGGAACGATTAGGGACAACAGGACAAAAGATTGTGAGTTTAATGAAGAGAGTACCTTGAAACTGGTTGAACTTTATTGTGCCCATCCTCTCTCCGTTACGAAACATGACTTGACCCTGAAAAACACAAGCAAAACAAATGTTTTAATCATCGCATCAGAAACACAGATTTTGTCATTAAAGCGACATATGGTAAAGAAGCTGGCATTAAGCTCTATAATAAACTCAGCCAGACATGAGTTGATTTAAATTTATGCAGTGTTATCTTGACAGTAATGACAGAAAAAGGGGCAGAGCCTCAGCTCCTACTCCATCTCATTTGATTAGAACTGGCCAAAACTGATCTATTTATAGAAGGAAACAAAATTATCCTTCAGCCAATTTATTTGCCCACATCCTTGGAGCAACGTCAGTACAGTGAGGACAACAAATTCAACTGTTTGCTCACTCACATAGTACTGGTTTAAATCAGTTTGACGTGGCTGAAATAACAGTACAGTCAGTGGGTCGCACGGCGGGTCAGGAACAGTCGTCAGCCTGAATAACTGAGATTTAAGGGAGCATTTTATTCCTCATCACTGATAGAAGTAGACAGATTAAACTACCTCGCCTCGGTGACAAAAATAACAACAAAACCATCCCAGGAGGGGGGGGAAAAAAAAAGGAGCAATTTTTTAGCCAAGGAGCTTCTGGCAAAAACACACAAGAAGAAAATCATCTGAACTTTTGGCAACCTCTTGAAACAGTTTGGAATCGATTGTGCTTCCATCACCTCATCTTCTCCCCAGTCCACCCCCACCCCCCTATTGTTTTTGCTTCCCTTCTCACTCCATCCTCTCTTACTCACATCTACCAAGAGTCTTCAATTAATTCAGCCCACCATCTGCTCACGGAGCTCCTTAATTACGCATTTAACTGGGTGTACGATATTAGCTGTTGGCTAACAAAACAGGTGAGAGACAAACACACGGGCTTACAGTGACTGACTCGCTGATAGCTGAGGGGAAGTGGATGCTGGAGAGCCGATTTGCTCTTAAAAAATGGCAAGCTTTGAAGTGGCAGAGCGGATCCCACCCCTCTCTTTGAATCCCAGTCTTTTTGTGTGGCATCTTTGATGTGTCTATGTGTGTGTGCATTTAATATGTTGTCACACTCGCATGTGCCACAGACAATGCATACATAGAGCTTCTCCCAAGAGAAGGCGGTCTCCGACGCTGCTTTCTGCATTAGCGATGCACAACACACGGCGCCTCGAGTGTTTGTTGCAGAGCACCCCTGTTTAGCTTATTTGTATTACATGAAGATGACTGTGGTGTTTAATGGGGGTCAGAGAATTCAGGGGAACTTGACTTGAAGTCATTATGATTCTTAATGCATGTATCCCAGTTTTTAGAGAAGCTGCATGCCACGCATGTTCTGTTCCTGCAACACACTTGTCACATTCAGTTTCCTTGAAATCAACAGAAACACAGTTATGCAAACCTTATTTAAAAAGGCTTCACGTTTATGAAGGAATGCATATCACCCGCCACCGTTCATGACAGCAATTTAAACTAAAACCATCTTATGATAAGAAACGGTGGCGTTGCAGCTGTTTTGGTCACATCTTGCAAATGATGTCATTAGGTCTGTCACAAAAAATTTTGCTGGGCGATTAATTGTCTCAGAAATGATTGCGATAAACGATAATATTGTTTGAAATTTGATAATGAGTAATTATTGTCCAATTTAAGAAGAAATGTTGGTTAATTTGTTTTGACTGTAGTACCTTTTTTGGCCACCGGATGACAGTGTAAGACTGTTTGAACCGAAGGATGGATAGTGAAGGAGCGAGCAGCGTGTCTCTAAGAAAAATGGGAGGGAGGCCCCTTGACGTGACATGGGCTGTCTCTTTTTACTTTTTTCAGTTCTCAAAATGGCGGACGCTCGGTGTGGTTTGAGCTCTTTGGCATAACATTTTTCACACAAAGCTTTTAATTAAAAAAAAAATCAGTAAACGAGTTCTCAGCTTCTTTTTGCAGAGAAAAACAACTTTTTACACGAAGGCACGGGTTTCAACCGTGAATTTTGGAGCTTCGACAAGACAGAGTTTTTGTTCCGAGATCAGCCGTTTAGCTTAGCTCGTAGCTGTGTTTCTCAGCTTGGCTGCTTTTAACGATCCAAAAACGTGATTTTGGACGTTTAAAATAGATTTTAAAGAGAAAAGAGAAATGGAGGGGTCAGTGAAGAGTACCGGAATTGAGCCGTCATCCGGTGTCTTCGGTAAAGTGAGCGACGCGAAGAAACGATAAAGTCGATAAATGAAAATGAGGTTGATAATTTAAATTTTTTATGCGATTAATTGATTTATTGTTTATTGTGACATGCCTAGATGTCATCCACAATCTAATGTGATGTTGTGAAATGTGTTAGAGCTCAGAGTATGGGTTTAGGATGACGTTCAGCTACTACCAGACTAAATCTACTCAATATCTGTATAAGTGAGTGAAAACCACTCTTGGGGTGGCTGATGTTGATTAGCTGTGGCAGCCATCTTGAATTGGAGTCACTACAAAATGACGTAGATATACATCAAATTAAAAGTTTGAGATTTTTATTAAAATCTGTGCATTGGTACATTAGATATTTCGCTAACAGACAGTGTTAATGTCAATAGTGGCTTTTTTTAAACTGGATGGGGGAAATAATATAATGACAACTGACAATGTAAAATCAAATGGAAATGTATAAAAGTATTTATTTACATATATTGCTATAAAAGTTTTGGGATTGGAGTTGTGGTATCCATTTTGGTTTTGGCATCACAATTTCAAAGGAAGAACCCAGGAATGTAGACTGACACAAGGAGCTTGAGATAAATAAAACAAAAAAAGATTTAGTTAAAGAAAACAACAGGACTGGTGCTGATGAGAAGATTGGAGACAACTGAGCTTAATGAGACGGGAGACAAGTGTGAGAGGGTGTGGAAGGACTCAGCTGAGGAAAAGATCTCATGATTTATTGGCCCAGGGAAATACAGAGGGACAGAACACTAAAATGATTAAACCTAACAATAAACAAAAAATAACAAACAAACAAATAAAAGCAGATCCGTACACTTGGCCCCACTCTATCAAACTATTAGATTGCCTCACATGATAAAACCTCTAATTCTCCAAATTAATAATAAAAAGGACGAGCATTTTGATAAACATTACGGAACATCTCTTCCAAAAATCCAGACTGTCTTTTGAAAACTTAATTGTGAAGCCAAATTTTGGCAAGCACCGTGTAATTGCAAAACCACATTTATCACTCTGTGCCTAGTATACAAAAGACTTTCAGTTAGAATAAAGCAGCATCTCAAAGAGCAATCATTGTGTTTAAACGTGTGTGTGCGAGAGAGAAGATGTCTGTCTCGAGTAAAGCTGGAGGAGGTGGCTATCACTTTGTCAGTGAGGGTGAGAATACAGTCAGTGCAGGCGTGCTGGGGTCAAATGAGATGCAAGTGTGTGAGCTGCAGGTGTTACGTCCTCTGGGTTTTCAGAGTTTCAGGTTCCTGAAGCAGCTGATGTGACGTACACACATACTCCGGATTTAAAGAGGGAAAATTCTTCTTAGACTGTGAAGCAGAGAGACTTTGATACAACACAATTATGTTTGATTTTAAAAAAAGGAAGAAGAAACCAAAAACACGCCATTTGCCACCCTCCCGTCAAATCCTGATGAGTTTTTCTCTTCAGTAAATATCTTTATGTGGCTCCAGCAGCTCTCCTTGCCCTGGAAGTTCTCCAGCTATTGCCGATCTGTTTCTCTGCGGCTGTGACAGCAGTCGGATCAATACTCTCAATGATCACTCTCCTGGTGCTGCAGCCACTGATTCAGCAGCAAGACTATCAGCACCGGAGGAGTGTGGTTTGGTTTTGTTGGACATGTTCTCATGCAGCAAAAAACAGCAGGAAACCACAACACAGGTGAAAGCACACGGCTCATACGAGGGCATGAAGATCAGCAACGTGCACACATAAAACATTTGTCTTCGCATATCTGCCTGTACACGGAAGAATTTAGTCAAACTACAAGTCATTTAATCCCCGAGCCAAGCGAGTTGCGTAACAGCTGCTTTTGAAATCAGAATTTTAAAATAGCATAAAAGATGTATGGAGCGTGGCTAGAAGGGAAATTGCCTCCTCCAGTCTTTGCCATGTGTGGGTGGAAGTTTCTATGCACAAAGTCGTATTTCATGTAATCCCTTAAAAGAGCAGCTATAATAGTTGGGAGAGCTTAAAGGTTTTGGAACAAAGACATGTTTAATTATAATGCAATGCCACTGTTTAACGTTGTTTATTATGTGCACACTCTGACTAAATTTACCATGGCCACTGTCGATTCATTATGTAATAAATGTAGCTACTTGACACAATAACCCGTGGATGTATGGCATGAATATGACAGAGGGCAAGATAGGAATCTTGTAGCTTTAACAGCTTGAACAGACAGATTGAAAGGTGACGTTTGATTTATGGGATGTTCGCTGTGAGGCAGATCACGTGCATTGCAGCAGCGCAGCCTGTGCTAACGGCTTGCAAACAGCGCCCTATTGCTTTCAGACTAGTAATGTAAACATGACACGTGGAAATATTTACATCACTTTTTTTTTTACAGTAACATTACACTAAATTATAACAATAACAAAAAGCAAGCATTGGTTAGGATTCAATTAAATGCCTTAAGGGTATGAATTTCACCTGCCATGTTTCTGGCTGGAGTTTCAAACTAAGATCATCTTATGATGACAAATTACAACTTTGTTGCCATTTTGGTCAACCTGGTAAATCACTGTGTGTGCAATCCCATGCAATGTAAAAGGTAAGTGAGTTGTAGATAATATACATGTAGGTCCAATTCTTACATGGATATTGTCTTTAAAATTTGTCTAGTTGTTGATGAGATATTTTGCTAATGCTACAGACAAACAAATAAAAAGAAGCACATGAACAGGCAAAAACATTGCCTTAGGTAGATGGCAATAATAAAAACATAGTGAGTACCGTACTTTCCGCCGTACACGTCGCACTGCCGTATAAGTCGCATCAGTCCAAAAATGTCTAATAAAGTGGAAAAAAACAAATATGTTGCTTCGCCGTATTTGTCGCATCTATTATGCGTCACCGTTGACGCGTCGCGTTTGTTACGCATCACCGCTGACCACCTGGAAAGTGGGCCGGTGTTGTGCTAAAAATCGATTGGCTGCAAAATGGTGGTCGCGGGAGAGCGCACGAGAGGACTTTGACAAGAATTTAACAATACTTACAATCAATTATTTATTTGCTTGACATTATAGTAAAGGTGTGTCTCAGCTGAACTTTTCATTAATAAATGCACTTCAGTGGTCACATCAGCAGCATTTCTCCTGGGAGCAGCAGCGAAATGCAGCTGATTTGACCAGGAGTTCTGGAGCGAGATGACGGTGGCTTAGTATGGCAAGCCAAGTGTCTCATTAATAGCCACTTTTACCTTTTAATGAGGCACTTCTTGCCATATTACTCGAGTTCCCTCTAGCAGCTGAAAATGGTAGTGTTCAATATTTTCCATGTCAGAATGAATGAATCATCAGATTTCAGCTATAAATTGGGTTATAAATATGGGGGGGAAGCAAATAAGTCGCTTCGCTGTATAAGTCACAGGGCATGCTAATTTATGAAAAAAGGTGCAACTTATACAGTGAAAAGTACGGTAAATATTGGCTGGGTTGTTCTCAGGCTGTTTCGGTGAATAGCAAGTGGCCATCAGGCCTCCAACGATTGATTGTTATCCACCGATTATCAATTTTTAGACTGATGGTTCCCTTTTTACATGTGAAAAGCTAGTTTATGGAATCCCACAGCAGGATGGCTTGAACCACTTTAAAAAGGTGCTATTTATATGACAGAGTTTGTTGGCAGGCTTCAGACTGATGGAGTCTTATGGATGAAAGACGAAATATTTCAACCAAGAAAAATCAGTCCAAATAACCAGTTTGAACTTTTTTTGTGATTTATTTACCTGGATGATTAAGCTTACATCAGGACTTTATTAGCATTATTATTTAAAAATGAATTTAAATAATAGCATTGAAAGCAAAATTCTCTGTCATTAGGAATTAAACTTTTTTTTCAAACTGAGGTCTTTCAAATTGCCATCTACCACAGGTAAGATATTCTTTATCAAATAGATTTTCCCCCACTTCTAAACAGAGGCTTTTATCAGTTTACTTGGTGTTCTTTGGTCCTTGTAAATGTTCGTATGATTTTTTTATTTTTGCATTACCAGCTGCAGGTTGCACTGATTATTTGTAAACTCATTTGAATACAAATATACTAAAATGCAAGTGAAGTCCTGATGTAGAACACAACACTCTCCACGCCAACTGTTCAGGCACGGAGCCGCATGCAACTCTAATAACATTGTGGCCATTACAGAGAAACAGGAGATCCTTAAACGGCTCAATAGGAAGGGCGAGAGTAAGAACGCCCATTCATACACACACACAAACCTACACACAGAGACATAAAGTGCATAAACAGCTTTTAGCTTTGCCACCAGGATCAATCTCAAATGCAGTAGAGTGAGTCTGTTGCACTAAATGACATCACTTTCAGCTTCATTCAGATGCGCGGATGAGTGGGTAACCTCTGCAAGCAAGAGTCCAGTTTACTGAGCACTGAATCCTTCCTTTGTGTTATTGGGACATTCACACACTCCACGCAAAAACATTTTACATTAAGTGTTTGCATGTGGAATATTGACAGATAAATTTACAAAACCCCATCCTGGTCAGCACTAAGTCACTGCATTGTTTGACTTTAAGTGTGTCTCTAAATGCACTGAATGATTTATATTTTTTATGATTTTCAAAGTAATGGCTTTATCATCAGACCCCAAAAGGCAGGTACTGTAATAATATTTATGTCCATGTCTTTATGTGCTTGTGTTTCTGTCTGTTTGCAATTATCATAGACAAATTTTAATAAAACTTGCAGAAAATAATTCATGTGTGTACAGCCATGACTCATTACGTTTGAAGTAATGAGCAGCCAATTCAAGATGGCTGCTGCAGTCAACTGGCCTTAAATGGCTATAACTCACTCTGTTTTACAGATATTGATCTAAGATTTGGCATATTTGTATCTAAGACTCAATCCCAACACATACTTTTAGCAGTAAAAGATTGTGTAAGGTACTTACTTGAAATTTTCAATTAACTGATTTCAAACCTGTCTGTCTGTTAGCAAAATGTCTCATGAACCATTGCATGAATTCTAATGAGACTTTCAGAAAATATTCAATAGATGAACTTCTACAAAAGATTAACTTTTAAAGCCAACTTGATTTAAGATGCCAGTCACAGCCAGCTGACCTTAGAAAACACAAATGGCTGAAATTCAGTCAGTTTTACAGATTCTGTGCTAAAATTTGATTTAGTTATAGCTTAGGGTTATTCAAATCATATATTTTAATTTCTACTCATTAACAAAGATCTTTGCTTAAAATTGTAGCATAAACTGTCGGAGTAAATTCTGTTTGTTAGCAAAATATCTCGAACCTCAGGACAGATTTTAATGAAACTGTTAAAAATCAATAATTTTCAAATAAAATGTATATATATATATATATATATATATATATACATATATATGTATGTGTATATATATATATATACACACACTCGAGATATTGAGGTAAATTTGATGCGGTAGTAGTTTAGTCATTTTCAACACAAACTCTGAGGCCTAAATTATGCATAATATTTTCAAGGCGCACTCAAAACTGCTAAAACTTTATTATTTGTCAACAAAAAATGATATTAGTCTAAATCTCTGGCATGAAGGGCAGATATGTATTCCTACATGAATGGTTGGCCTTTAATTAAAAACTGTAAACTTCTGTCTGTCTTACCGTCACTCCATTGAAGTTCGTCTCGTTCATGACATTCAGAACCATTTTTCCTACTTCTCGATCATCGACTGTGAAGTTGTGGTAGATGTTCTGCCTTTGTTTTATCCGCAGCAGCTCCATAACTCGGGTCAAGGTCTTAGCAATTACCCAGATCCCATCGTAGGCGAAGCCGTGAAACTTGCTTGCCTCCACACCTTTCTGCCGAAGCTCTCTGGTATACTCCATCTCATACTCCTGTGGGGTCTGAAAGGTGAGCAAGACAAAGAAGTTGAGAAAACAACTTTCTTCATACTTTTTTTTATGATGAAGCTTTTCTACAAAAATGCTTTAGCGCATCGTTTCAAAGGCGTTGTTATTGTAACCTTGAAATTTCTAATCTAAGAATGCACATCTGGAAATAAGGAAAACAAATGTCTTTTGGAAGCAAAGTTTTGAAGCTACAGATAAATTTTCTCAAAACAATTATGGGAAAAATTTCAGCAGATGCTCTTCTGTGTGAATGTAACCACAGAGAAACAACATTAGAAAATAAATAAACAAACAAACAAACAAAAAAAGTAAAATACAAGTTCTAACATATAAAAAGACAAACTTTAGTTAGTTGTAAAAACGTATTCAGAAGTACTTCAGTACTCATTTTCTTTTTATTGAAATATTTGATTGTTTTGCTCCAGCTTGACCTGAACTTGTAAGTTTTTTTTGTTTTGTTTTTGCAACATATTTGAAGAAAGGGTACAGTTTCTTATTTCTAACAACCATATGAGAATTAAGGGAAACGTTTATTTTTTGACAGATGCTGCATGAAATGGAATTTAATTGTCCGTTGTGGACAAGGAAAAATGGAGTGGTGTGTATTCAGTATTGCAATCTAAACACTAGACTTGCAATTATGTATCTGGACCATTGGATAATATTTCTCTGAGCATGCTGGGATGAAAAGAGGGAGAAAGAAGAAAGAATATGGAGGTAGAGGGGTCAAAAGTTTTGGAAAAGTGCATGGACGGGTGGAAATTGTGCAGGAACAAGACCAGGACAATGGGGTACAAGAAGAAATATGACTATTAGGACATGTGGTAGAGTTAGAATAATGACCCAAAAAGAAGAACGTTTAAAAAAGTTACATTTATCTGAAGGCAACAATTGATTAAATTTCCAATTAGCAATATGAAAACCAGTTCAGAGGTACAGTATGGAAAGTATGGGAAACAGCACAGTTACTGGAGTTAGGTGGACGCATTTGGGACAATGGTGCTTTCATGTCTGGTCTTTTGTTTTTCCAACTTTATTTTTTATTTATGTAAGTAGCTGATATTTGAAGTTGGTTGAGTTTAGTTCTCAATAAACCGCCTCACTTACGAACAGGGTTAAAACTCGTTTGTAACTGTTTCAGATTCCAACTGGTGTTCCTCACCCTGCCAGAGATCCCCTTGACTGGTCGAGAACTGAGGGGCTCGAAGTCCACGCTGATGTATCCTTCCATGGCAGTGAGAAGCTTCTTGACCGTGCAGTTGGTGGTGTTAGCCTGCTCCCACCACTTGTGTTGGTACCAGCCTGGGATGATCCACTGGTATTTACTACCAAACATGTTCAAGTTATACGCCTAGAACAGGTGAAAAGAAAGGAAGGGAAGGTTAGAGCCATGAAACAGCATGATAAGTTACACGATGGCAATAAGGGACAAACAGAACACCAGCAACACAAAGCTATCCAAGGAGGTTCAAAGGGCATGCCTCCCCAGAAATTTTTGAAAAAGTCTCCTCAGTCTCCTCCAGCCATTTGAAGTGTATTTTACCAAATTCTTAGGTCTGAGAATCAACACAGGTAAAACAAGCCAGCACTTGTCAATGTGGGACGTCTAACCTTTATACGGGACTGTGGGGACAAAGTCTGGGGCTAACCCCCCAAAATCAGGACAGTTGGCAGGCATGCGGTGTTTGACCTATGAGTAGTGACATGTCTGAAATCTCCACACTGTTAGCTTTATGAAGGACCAATCAAAAGTCTGTCGAAGTTTGCTGAACACCCACAATCCTTCACTCTCATGGACATGCACCAACTAAGACGCACCAAAGTATGTTAATGGGTCAATGTTTGAATAATTGTCTTCAAGTTAAAAGACTGGGGTTTTTTATTTTCCAATCCTTCCTTGTATTATTGTCCATATATAAACACTGGATCCCTACATTATGCAAATAGCTAACAGATTAATGTACGGAGTGTAAATACATAATTGACCATTTTACAGATACTAATGTGCGTGCTCGAAGTCAGTACTTTGGGACGCATTGTGGTCTAAATATATTCATGCTTCTGCTGTTTGATTTATACTGACCCTAAACAGTGTGTCTACCTACGTTTCAAATGTGCTCTTAAGTCATTCTATCACAACGTAAAATACAAAAAAAATAAAAAATAAAATTTATAAATAAGTTTGTAAATAAAAGTCAACAAAAAAGGTGTAAAGGACCAAAAAACTAGAAACGCCAAACTTGAATACAAGAAATAGCTTTGAATGTATGTGATGGATGGTTTTATGCATGAACGTTGGTGCTTATGTGCTTTGTAGAACCTAAACAATGTTAAAAAGACGTTAAGTAAGTGTGAACTTTGAACATTTAAAATTGAATGTGTAATTGAGTACTTACACAACAGAAGACTTGGGAGGCCAAGTTCTCATCAAACTGACCAATGATGATTCTCACATCGTTGTCCTGAAGAAGAAGAAAAACGTTTTGTCAACAAAAAATGTTTTTCTTTTATAGAAAAGTGTGGCAGCACTTCTTAACTTTTACTTATTTTGTGCCGGCTTAAAACCAAGTCTGCTCTGATTGGTCAAAAATTGTTTAAAGTTCAAACCAGCTGCTTTTTTTTTTTTTTTTTTTTTTTTCTTCTATGGCACACAATGTGCTTTCTGTAAAGCTGCAAAGCATGCTGGGCATGTTGGGTAATGGAGCTAAACAAAAGCTGTATATCCTTTACTTGTGAACTTTAATTCAGACAATAAATCCATGAGAGAAAAACTGAAACCTCTGTGGGATCAACCATTTTTGTGTCACATCACACTACTGTTCATAGAATGAACCACGTTGCACGTGCTGATTTTTTTTCAAGTATGTTGGACCTAAATGGAAATCCAGAAGTAAAGAAAACTAAGCATTATCAAACTGTAAAGTGCATTATTACAGAGAGTATATGGGGGTAGAACTACACACCAACCAGGCTGAAGAGCCCAGATTAGCTTGGGGATTCAGGACACAACATGGCCCGGTGAATGACTTGGTAAATAATTCAGATTCCCTGGGTGGAAATTCAGCATGTTTGCGAGTGGTAAATAGAAAGAAATCAAATGTGGGACCATGCCTTTTAGTGGGCTGAGTGCAGTCCTGAACATGTGCACACAGAAATGCATACAAGTAAACAAAATACATGTGGAAATACATACACCGATTGGATGAATCTACATCAGACCGGATACACTAACAAACAACAACATATTTCTAAGAGATTGAGTTTTTTGAAGACTGACTTATAATGAAAAGTTACACAAAGACAAGTTAAAAAAAAAAAAGGTTCAAACACCAGCAGTAATTTGATCAAACCTGTGCTATCCTATCTAGATATTAGAACCAGTTAGAAACACAGTTCATGAAGTCATCCTCCAGGCTTCACCAAATGTCATGCACCCTCAGATCAGAGGGGCCAACTAATCACTGTCATCTTAATCCCAACACTTCTCTCCTGGTTACATCAGAGTCACTACTGAAACTCTTGAGGGCCTTTTTGTATATAATCCTCTCCAATCGTCGACTCTAGCATCTTCACAAAACACAAATATCGGTAGAAGCCCAAGAATGTCAGGTATAAGCTCTAAATTTAATTCCGGATGTGCTTTTGTGTCCTTTTCTTGTGTTGGTGAATGTGTATTTGGGGGAGGCAGACATGCCGGTGGCGACTCAGTAATACGCCTGTTCCCTGAAGGAAAGGCACTTAACCCAAATGACTCCAGCTATGTCCGAGGGCCACGGGCTCAGTAAGAATCCCAGCCTGCCCGGCAACAAAATGAAAACACTATAGTTGTAGGCAAGGGCACAAGTCAGTGTGTTGTGTTGGTGTGCTACAGCCAGACTGGGGGCACTAAAGAGCCCTGAATTACCCTCATTGCTCAAGCTTTTATGTAACTGTAACAATTATTGTTTTCAAAGAGGGGAAGCCTCCGCTGCTTTATCCATAACTGGGTTATTTGTCAATTTATAATTGTGCTTAATGTGTGCGAGTAATATACACCACATAATCCCAATAAGGCACCGTTAAGGATTATTAAACACAAACAGATGAACATCACTGGTCTTTTATGAGCATGATGAAAATTTGATTGAGATTTTGTTGCTTCAACGTCAGCAATTTCATTGTGATGACCGCTGTGTGGCATAAATATTAACTCATGCAGGATGAAATTGTGTTTTTAATTTGTACAGACGAACGCGTGGTTATCACGGTTCGGTGTGGTTAGACCCAAGTGCGGGCAGACACGGGCAGCATGAAAGAAAACAAAAACGGATTTATTAAATGAACAAAAACAAAAGGTTGACGTGGCAGCAACAGCTTACAAAATAACGCAGGGGAGGAGGCACGAAAAGGACCGAGACCTCTGATAGGTTTGCAGAACAATGAGCCAACGGCAAGGTGGTGACAAGGGATGATTTAAATAGCAAGCTGGGTGAGAGGGGAAGTGGAAACACCTGGGTTGAGATGCTGATTGGGGACAGGTGAGGGGCAGGCTGAATGGAAAAACACTGGGGAGGCTTACTGAGGATATATGAATTATGGCATGAGAAACACAATAGATTTAACCAAGAAAACACAACTAAATCCAAAGGACAATAAATAAAATCAAACCTTGAAAATAAGGCTTAGATTACTGAAAAAAAATCACAAAAGTCACAAATACGACAACAATTATGATCACTAATTTAACTTTTTATGAGGCAGCTGTGACTGAGTGGTTAGAGCAGTCCTCCTCCCGTAAGAGAGTTGGGTATTCAATTCCACCAGCAGCATGCTGAAGTGTCCCTGGGCAAGGCACTGAACCCCTCATTGCCTCCTATGTGTGTCCCATTGGTGTGCGGATGTGATAAAGCACTGATTAGTCTTTGTATAGATCTAGTAGAGTGCTGTATGAATGGGTAAATGAGGGCACAGATTGTATTGTAAAGCACTGAGTATCTTGATAAGATAGAAAAGTGATATATACATTCCATTTAGCATTTACTTTAAAAAAGAAAACTGTGCATTGGAAAGATCAGCTTGGACTGAAAACAACACTAGAACCTTATAGATTGGTCCTTTAAGCAGGCTGATCGATGTGAGGCTGTTGCTCAGGCTTTGTGCTGTTTGGGGATTTGGATCAGCAGAGGTGCTTTAGCAGTTTTATTGGTTTCAATAAAATACTTTCATAAAATAGGCAAACTTATAATGATATTATAAGTGCAAGCCATGAATCTGGAGCTGATTCTATGTGGGCCACAGGACATGCTAAACCCCTTTTGTTTTTGTAAAACAGTGTTGATTTCATGGCTATTTTAAGCAGGACATGGAGGTTAGAGATATGTCATTCCCATAACACAACTGATGCGTTTGTAGAGTGTAATAGTGTGGTGAGGAGTAGTGACTTATTACACAGTCATATGGTGAAACATGAATCTTCAGTTTATTGTCAGTGTTGCGAGTGAAAATTGCTGCACGAGTGAGAATAATGTGTGAAGAGAAATAAATTTCCACTTGTCATAAGTCAGGGCCAACAGGTTTATCCCGTCGCCATGAAACGCGCAGGCGATCATGAAATTACCTGCACGTGTGTCCGTTAGCAAAATATCTCACTGTTCGTCTACAACTGATTAACATTTGGAGTCAATTAGATTCAACATGGCTGCCCCAGTCAAGCTCATCAAACACTAAATTGGTCGTATCTGAGTGAGTTTTACAAATATGAACCTAACAAAAACAAACTGTCTCACAGTTTTATTCCTCCATGAAATTTATAAAATCCAGGTAACCCGACATGAACGTTTTGTACTTTAGGTGAAAAAACACAAACACAGATGTCCAATGACAACAGGCACACTTGACAAAAAAAGCATTTACATTTTTTTTATTCTTACAGTGAGGCCACAACCAGTACACCACTTACTCTACTGGTTATAAATAATTAATTTATTATATATATTAATGTATCTTTATTTAAATTTAACCATTTTTAGTAAAGTAAAGCTGCTTAAACTGCCTCCCAGGCAGTTAAGTTGTTGCAAAGTATAACACACCCCAGTCTACAAAATGTCTGCCAACGCTTATATTTTATGCTCATACTGATAAATAATAAAGAGCACAGTTATAGAAATTGAAAATAAAGTTTGCTGTGTGTGTGTGTGCTCATTTCAAATGGAAGCCTGTCTTTGTTTTATCAATGTTTCTTAATCCAGCCTGTGCAGGGAACTCGAGGCGGGGAACGAGGGAGAAAATGAAAAAGGCAGAAAGCAGCAGAGAAACGTCGAGAGCGAGCTGTGAAGAAGCCCTGCAGCAGTGATGCCTGTCTGCATTTTGAATATTTCAGCTGGAATATCACAGATGTGTGCGCTCTATTTGTGGATCACACAGAGTGTCAGAGGCCCACACCCACTCCTTCCAAACCCTCTGAAAAGATTTTCAGGCAACGCTGAGATTTGCATATTCAGCGTTAATTCAAGATGGGTGATGTCAGCTTAAAATGTCAGGCCTTAACATGCAGATTACACACATATTTTAGGAAGGAACGCTTATCTTTCTGTTTCTTATACATCCCAATGTCTCCTCAGCTCGATCTTATTGACCTGCTCCTTCTAGTGAACATTATTTCTGCAATCATATCTATTTCTCTTTCTGGCCATTATTCTCCTCCAGCACAAATTGTCTGACTGAGCTATTTTTCACACTACCTGATGGTGATAAATGCACAAATCTTTCAACATATATGTAAGCTACAGCTTAACTTACAGTGCAGTTCTATGAGAACGTTATAAACAAACCTCTTATGTGTCGTAGTTTGCTTTTTGAATTACCTCACTTTGGAGAAATTAGGTTTAATTTTGACAGGATCGATAAGTTACCGTAATTTTTGCTGTATAAGTCGCAGTTTTTTGCATAAATTAGCATGCCTGCAACTTATACAGCAAAGCAACGTATTTATGTTTTTTCCTCATATTTATAACCCAATTTTTGGCTGAGATCAGACGATTTCATTCATTCTGAAATGGAAAATATTGAACACTACCATTTTCAGCCACTAGAGGGCACTCAAGTAATATGGCAAGCCAAGTGTTTCATTAATAGATAAAAGTGGCTATTAATGAGACACTTGGCTTGCCATACCAAGCCACCTTCGCCTCGCTCCAGAACTCCTGGATCAAACGCCAAATCAGCTGCATTTCGCTGCACCGCCCAGGCGAAATGCAGCTGATTTGACCATTAAAGTCCATTTATTAAGGAAAAGTTAGACCGAGACACACCTTTACTATAATTTCAAGCCAACAAATAATTGTTTTTAAGTGTTAGTCTTGTTAAATTCTTGTTAAAGTGCTCTCATGCACGCTCTTGCAGCTGCCATTTGGTAGCCAAGCAATATTTTGCACAACACCGGCCCACATTTCTGAGTTTTTAGCGATGATGCCTAAAAAATGCAACACTTAAATGGTTACACATAATAGATGCGACTTATACGGCAGCAAGTACGGTAATAGGTAGTCTGAGCAAGGCCAAGACCAAAGTTAAATGCTGCCATCTTAAAACATTGAGTATATTTTTTTATGCAGTCCATGTGAATATAGTTTATTAACCTTCACAACACTGTCAGTTCTTTATTAAACCAATATTAACATGGAACTGTGCAAGCAGACAAAGCAGTGTAAAATATAGGAATAAAAGTAGGAATAAAGCAGGAATAAAATGTTTTGTTAGAAAAGCCATGTAATGTGAAACTAAGGGTGGCGTGCAGGCTCATAAAGTTGTGTTCCCCTTGAACTGTTGGGAAACTTGCTCAGAGTAGCTGTTAGCTTGTCAGTTCAGTAAATTAACTCAATTTTTCCAAATTGAGGCCATTCAAAAAGCTATTTACAACAGGTAAGATGTTAATTGTTCATAACTTTTCCACAAAATGTCCACAAAATGTATCATCTCAGCTAGCTTGATATAATTTTTACAGTGAATTTACGTACCTTCTTAATGAACTCACATCAGTCCAACAAAGTCAAGTCAGGTCCTCTGGCCTGTTTCTTTTTGTTGAAATGTTTCATCTTTCATCTATAAAATTTCATCAGTCCAAGGAGCCACAACAAACTCAGTCTTATAAATAGCACCTTCACATAGTGGGCCAACCAGTTTAATGGTGCTCAGATGGTTTCTGGAGTCCGCTCTCTCCCTCGCCAACTCGTTTGAAGCAGTCATGGCCAAAGTGGTTCGAAATATCCTGATTCATGCTAAATAACTAACTCAACAGTGACAATAATAGACTCAACAGAACAAAAGTTCAACAAAAAGAGGACCTGACTTTACGGTGTTGGATTTTTCTACCTGGATTATTGAGCAAAAATCAGAATATCACATCATTCTCATTTACCTCTTGTTCCTCTTCAAACAACAAGAGGGGGAAGAAAGTAATCCCCTTTTAAATGCATGTTATACTTTGAAAGACTCACAAATCTGCTTTACTAACCTTGAGTTTTTTGACGTTGACACAGGGATCATTGGAGAAGCTTTCTGTGTCTGCAATCTGAATGTCTGCTTTCTCCAGCTCATTGGTCAGATCATTCCTCACCTGAGAGAGCAAGACATGAAGAAAAGGGAAGAAAGTAAGTAAAAACAGAAGTAGAACAACTGATAACTTTTAAGATCTATGATACATTCTTTTAGTTTTACAGAACTACTTGCAATGTTTCACAATGCATCAGAAATGTCATGGCAATGGAATCCAAACCATAGAATATATTGATGCCACTCATTAGTTTGAAGATTGACACTCTGAAGCCTGTAATTCAGAATTAGGGATTTTTCCAATCAAACGTGAGGTTCAGAGGAAGAATCTAGTGTTTTTTACACATGAACACCAAAAAGGGCCATAACAAAAGCACAGAAAATTAGACTCCATGTTTCTACACGACTACTGTTCGCACATGGGCTTCACTGTGGGAGCTCTGAACTGAAAATGTGTTTCCAGCTAAAAATATGACAGAGAGAAATCTGAGCAGAGCAAGAAGTGGGATTTCAACAGACATGATGGAATATGATGTGGAACCAGTTCTGCTTTGATAACAGCACATTGAGAATCATCGGTGAGGCTCTCAGATGTTGTTGTGTCAGTATCAGTACTATATGTATACAAAAATATTGACGGGTGAGCAACATCTTGGAAAAGACATGAAAAAGCAACACATCAGCATGCAGACTTGGTCGCAGTAAATGCTTCGCCGAGCTGTATTTACACACAGTTTCACTCCGTTATTTTCTGATGGTCTTATTCGGTGGCTCGTGAATGACAGCAAAAATCTGGAGCAAATTTTCAAGAACATTTTCCCCTCACATGTCTCCGTTCATAAAACCTACCTTATAAAACACAAAAACAACTGTATATCAGTCAATTTTACAGACGTGCTAAAATTTGCTGTGGTTGTAGCTGAAAGTCATTCACAACACGTAGTGCCACACTTTGTGTAAGATTTATGCTTAAAACTTTAGCATCAACTGCTGGAGTCAAAATGTTCATTTGGACTCATTTTTAGTATTTCACATTGTTTTATAATGTAGCTGTTATTTTGTTTAGTTGTTTTATATATATATATATATATATAATTTCTTCCATTTACTTTTCATTTTATATGCTTTTTTATGATTGTCTACTGTTGTCATCTGTGTTCTTTGTTTAAAACAGGTCTCTCTTGTAAATGAGTCCTTGAGGCTCAATGAGACTAACCTGTAAAAATAAAGGTTGAATTGAATTCCCACCACAGCCTCTGAGCTTGAAATCTTGCAATATTGCATGAGATCTCACATGAATACATTTTTTAGTTATTATAAAAACGGTACCAGCTCTCATTTCTTCTTATACAATGATCCTGGTCTAAAACTCTGGCATGAAAGGAGGTTCATTTAAGAGAAATTCAGCCTTTAATTTAAAACGATTTGATGCCTATGCACCACTACATATTCATCCAACTTTCAGAATGTGTAAATGCAAATAAGCTATATATAAGTTACACTTTCATGCTTAGATAAACAGAAAATACTGAAGGAAACAGAAATATGCTTATCTGTGCCAAGCCCCCTACCCAAAAAACCCCCAAGAGTACAGTATATGGCACATTACATACTCACTGACCAACTATTATACAGAAATCTATGGCAACGGCCTGGACAAACAAAGGCCTTGTATAACCTTTGACCTTAATTTGTGGCCTTGACCTTGAAGCTGCTGAAAAGTGTACACAACTCTTTGTCTAATAAAGTTATATTTAAGTTATCTTGAGCGGATCACAGAAGTTATGGCCGAGAAAAGAGACAGTTCACGTGGAATGGAACTGACGACTGAGACTACACCTTAATACCTCTGCCTTTCAAGGTTCTTTATTGTTGTTTGCATCACATGTGGTACATGAGGTGGAACAAAACTGTGTAATCAAGGTCCCAGCTACACCTCAAAATAGCAAAAATATAAAGTATAAAAAGAAACAGTACACAAAGACCTAAGATATACGCTAAACTATAATAATGTAAAATAATATGGTCTATTAAACAGCAGCCTGAACATGAGTCTGTAGTGAGCAGATGGGTATGAATACAGCAGCTTAAAGGCACGAAATCAACAACACAGATAAAGTGTTAATACTTAATACTCCTCAACCTCCTGCCTGAAAAGGGCATGGTGTATAAAAATTTGAAAGATGTGCACAGTGGAAGAAATGCACGAGGTGACACACCCAGACTATCATCCTATTGGTCTGACTCAGTTTCACCAATAAAATCTATTTTCACAATAAAAACTGTGCGCATGTGTTACATGGACACACATTTGGTTTATCACAGATCAAGACAAAGATGAACCAATGCAGCTTTGAAATTATTTTAGTTGCACATCTTGGCTGGCTGATGTATCCGCAGCAGCCGTATGTCTGTTTTGATTCATTGATTCGGTGGGATGGAGAGAGTAATGCGATCAGAGAAGAAGAAGAATAGAGCAGGTGTCCCACAGGGACGGTAAGCCGGAGGTGCTTTATCATCTATCACTCCTACTTCCTCACAAACACATTCTGCACCATGATTGGTGGGGCTTGTGTGCTTCTTCTGTGCACAAGACATTTTCAGTTGACATACAAAAAAAAAAAAAAAAAAAAAGTTAACCTGTGTTGTTGCAAGCTTATGAGCAATCATGCACACTATCCCAGCCTTGACAAACCCTAAACACTACAATTAGATAAAAATAAGTGTTTGCAATGTGAAGGTCTCTATTTTATTTATTTTTTGTGCTGGGCTTCAGTGATGACATGTAATTCTGTCTGGGATCAAATGTTTCAGATTTCCTCGGGCTGTGCCCTGTAGGCATCATCAGTCTCTCGGCTCACACACAGGAGCCTGGCACTCGGGATGAGCTGAAACATCAGAGGGTATTTGTTCTCAAATGTGCGTGCCAAGCATAGTTGGCAGTGACAACACAGAACAGCGAACTGAAGAAGGTCTTATGTGTTTGCCCTATTTTTGACCGAGTGCCTTATCCATAGCTCTTAAACGGCTTCAATATATTTGTTTTATGTTGGCTGACAAAAGCCCCAATCGTCTGGCAGGAGAGAAACTTTTAATTTATTTTTGTCAAAAGGCAAATTTTCATGTTAATGAAGAGAGTTTCAAATTTATGCCTATGCAGTACTCAAAACATACTTGTTGGATAAATGTAAAAATACAAGTGGAGCGTCTTTAACAAGACAAAGTAAAAAGGCTTGTGTTTATATTCTTTTAAGGCTAAATTTATTCATTCATTCAACGTTTATTATCATTTTTAATTATTTTTTTAATGGAAAAAAGTTGTTATTTTGAACGTGTCTATCTTTGCATTATTTTCATTCACCTTTTTGTATTTGCTCTTGTTGTCACTCTTCCAACTGGTCCAAGGTTTTATGGATGACTAATCATTGAAAGTATCAAAAAGCATTCATGTCTGAAAATTAGGGATGCACGATATTGAATTTTTGGCCGACATCCAACACAATATGTAAAAACTTATTTGGCCGATAACCAATACCAATACCGATATTTTTGCCCTAGACCTACTTACATAGACTACATAGCTTTCTCTGCTGTAGAATTAAAATACTGCATTATTCTGCATGGTCTTTGTCAGTTTGGCTGCTACCAAATGCAGATGTCAAAAAGGGGGCTGAAAATGATGTAACACTTCAACTTGGATTATGTTTAAAGTCAAATGTATTCATGACATTTGCTCTCTCGAACACAATGACAACACTCAAACAGTGCAAGTTTGTAAATTTTCACAAATCTAAACTCAACGGCGCGCATGACGTCATAACTCTGCAGGTATCCTTGTCACTGGGTTGTCATACAAACAGCACCTTATATACAAAGTATAAATATATACAGACAGACAGACAGATAAGCACCTTTTATATCTGAGTTATTTTGATGGAATGGCCTATAGCCGATATTTAAAACTAATATCGGCCGATACTGATACCATGTCGACAATATCATGCATCCCTACTGAAAACCAGACAAAACTTACTTCAATTGAAAACTTTTATTATTGTATTTTCGCTGTATAAGTCGCAAGTGTTAATCTTATTAAATTCTTGCTAAAGTCCTCCTGTGCACGTTCCTACGGCCGCCGTTTAGGCAGCCAATCGATTTTTGGCACAACACCGGCCCATGTTTCCAGGTGGTCAGTGGTGACACGTAACAAACATGACGCGTCAGCGGCGACGCATAATAGATGCAGCTTATACAGCGAAGTGACTTATTTATGTTTTTTTTTCCACTGTATTAGACATTTTTGGACTGATGCGACTTATACGGTGGAAAAAATTGTTTATTTTTTTAAATAGTTGCACTTTTGGTAATACGCAAATCTTACTTTAAAATAACATAAATCTTTTAATAAATAAAATCTAAATGATCCTGTTGACTGCTTATGACTTATTTTTATTCAGAAAGTTACTTTGAAGATAATATTTACATTCAACCAGCAAGAATAAATACACTCAATATGTTAGTGTTATTCTGACACTCATATTTAAGTCATTAAAAATATTTTTTAGTGTACAACACTATTATTTGACAACACTGTGTTGTTGAATAAGTTTGTCACGTCCTTCAGATCAATGAGTAAGTTGTTGTTTCCCTCTTGTCTCGATGTCTGCCATCATAATCGCCTCGACTTCGTGTGCCCTGGAGAGAGTCCTAAATCACTCTGAACATCACTCACTCTTGTACAGACATTTCCGCCACTTCAGCGTTCACTGAGCTGAACCAACAGGAAGGCCAGAGTGGATCAATACGACCTGGTTATTCTTGGGAAACACTTGGGTTTGCTGGTGTAGACAAGGTAAAATGTCATGTTGTGTTGGTTTGAGCGCTAATCTAAAACATCTGGTTGATGTAATCTTAGAAAGGAAACACCCCTGATAAAAGAAGCAATGGCTGCTCATTACCCAGGTGTTTAGTTAAGCTCCACTGAAGCAACATGTTGGAATCGTTAAAAAAAAAAGAACAAAAAAAAAAACAGCCATTGTATGACTTGCAGAAGTGTTTCAGTTT